CCCGGCTGGGGACCTGCACCCCGGCCCGCGCTGCCCCGGGTCACACTGACGCCCCCCCGGAGCAGGACTCCTCCCTGTTTGCAGCCCAAGACAAGTTCAGACTGCGGCTCTGCAGCCGGCGACACTGCGATCGTCGTCTGAGGGACGAGGGCAGAAAATGTGCAGTCGTGGAGGAGGGTCAGAAATGCTAGAAAGAAACGGCAGGAAGTGGGAGATGCAGTCTCCTGGGTTTGCTAGCTTCTGGCGTTCAGCTAGAGATGCTAAAGCTTTTGGTGTTCGCGAAATTGGTATTGAACGGGTTGAGATTCTCAAAATTGAGAGTTTCTTGTACTTCAGAAGTTCCTTCCCTAGTTTGGGCAACGTTGTCTCCTAGCTAGCTTTAGCTGTCAACTTAACAGCCCAACTTTATCTGAGGGAGTTTCAACTGGAGGGTTACCTCGCTGAGATTGGCCTGTGGGCATGTCCTTGTGGCCTGTTTTCTTGGTAACTGGTTGATACAGGAGGGCTCAGGCCAATGTGGGTGGTACCATCCTTATTCATGGACTCCAAGGCTGTATAAGAAAACTAGCTGAGCAGTAGCCAGAGACAGCAAGACAGTAAACTGTGTTCTTCCATTCTGCCTCTGCTCCTGCTCGAGACCCTGCCCCAACTTCCTTCAGTGCTGGAAGTGTAAGCTGGAATAAACCTTTTCCTCTCCAAGTTGCTTTTGATAAGACTATTTTATCACCTGGCAGTGGTGACACACGCCTTTAATCCCAGCACTCGAGAGGCCGAGGCAGGCGAATCTCTGTGAATTCGAGGCCAGCCTGGGCCACAGAGTGAGTTCCAGGACAGGCTTCAAAGCTATACAGAGAAACCCTGTCTCAAAAAAACCAAAAAAAAAAAAAAAAACCACACACACACACACACAGAGTATTTTATCACAGCAATAGCAAGCAAACTAGAACAGCATTTGTACCGACGTAAGCCATTACAATACACTGTGAAAAGTGAATGTGGAGAACGTTGGACATAAGCCATTACAATACACTGTGAAAAGTGAATGTGGAGAATGTTGGAAGAGACAGACGTTGGGCCTTCAGAGGTGACAGATTGGGGCACCTGGTATCAGGAAAATCCAGACACTTTCCATGAATGAAAGGATAGGTGGTTACTTGATGGATGGGTCAGAGAGATTCGATTGATTGATGTTGATTGATGTCGTGCTTGGTGTGTATAGGAATTTAGAGGAAAATGGCATTGAAGAGAGAGTGGTGCCTGTGGTAGTTCGTGGCTTCAATCCCAGCCCTCTGGAGGCAGAGGCAGGGTATCCGAGTTGTGGACCAGCCTGGGCTACCTAGTGAGTTCCAGGCCAACCAGGGCTGCATAGTGAGACGCTGTCTCCAGAGAGAAAGAGAGAGAGAGATTAGTGACATGATCCGGGTGATTTATGGCATGTTAAGTTTTCCAGAAGTTTCCAAAGGTTTTTTTGTTTGTTTTCTTGAGACAGGGTTTCTGTGGAACATCAATGCCTGTCCTGGATCTCACTCTGTAGACCAGGCTGGCCTTGAACTCACAGAGATCCGCCTGCCTCTACCTTCCAAGTGCTGGGATTAAAGGCGTGCACCACCACCACCCAGAGGGTTTTTGGTTTTTTCTTTTTTAAGGATTTTAGACAGGCAGTAGAACCCCCCCATGCAAAGATAACCATGACTATAGCTCAACATAAAATCATAATGTACTTGAAACTATAAAAACTTCATTTTGTAAGAGGTTTTGTTGTTGTTGCTGTTCTTTGTCTTGTTTTGTTTTTCTTTTGTAGCATTCTGTTGTAAGGTTCTCCGGGGTGAACTTTGTAGATGACAGCATCATGTCACATGTGAAAAGTCAGACACCCCTAGAAATGAAAGTGGAGACTTCCCACAGAGCTACCCCTGGTCTGGCTCCAGAGTGCCCCTAGTCTGCTTCATCTAGCCTTAACCCACCTTTTCTTGTTTCTCTTGTTACCTTCTGTGTGAATCTTGCCTGTGCAGACTTGGTTGAGGAACAATCCGGAAAGGGAAACCATGATATTCCTTAACTGAGAATTTGCATTTGGCATTGTCCCTTTGGGAAGCTTAGGTGAGAGGTATTGGGGACAGAGATTAACTTGCTGAAAGGTGTAATTTGGAGAACAACAGAAGGGCCCTTTGCTACAACTGGAAAAGGCTAGAGCATCCTTGGGGTGCCTCTGTGTCTTGATTCCATGGACCCGTGTGAACCCACACCCACACCTGATATACAACGTCATAAGCAGGCTGGGCAGTGGTAGTGCACACCTTTGATCCCAGCACTCTGGAGGCAGAGGCAGGCGGATCTCTGATTTTTGAGGCCAGCCTGGTCTACAGAGTGAGTTCCAGAACAGGCTCTAAAGCTACACAGTGAAACCCTGTCTCAAAAAAACCAAAAAGAAAGAAAGAAAGAAACATAATCAGAGTAGCACTTGGTACTGCTCTCCTCCCATTCTGGTATTGGAGTGAGGGGCTTCACTGGGGAATTAATGGGAAGCAGATCACTAAGCTTCATATCAGAGAGCTGAGTCCTGACCCTCCCAAGGTAGACTTTTTGTTCTTGCCGACTTCTAGAGTAGTCTTCAGAATGAGAAATGTTTTAGATGATCCCTCCTGTGCTGTGACCTCTGTGATCACTCACACTGTTCTGAAGTGTGGTTTTCCATTCTTGCAGAGAAGAAGAACTTGGAGAAGCCGCCCATGTGTACTGGAAGACCGACAACAATGCTATTTATCAGACTGATGGGGGGAAATCCTTCAGTTTTGGTAAGTTTAATCAAAAGTTATCGAATGCTGGGTGCGGTAGCCTCTATTCCCTGCACTCTGAAGGCGGGAGGATAAGGAGTTCGAGGCCAACCTGAACTACAAAGTAAGTGCAGTAAACAGCGCCATTGTCCCAGACCCTACGCTGTCATCCCATTGTTAAAACTAAAATGACAACATTTTGATCAGAGAAGTATAGGAAATAAAAGGATTTCTAGTAAAGAGCAATTTTATAATAGAGTTTTTAAAGATAAAACTGTATATTTAAGAGGTTATAAAACCAAGATTACAGGTCCCCAAGAGTTCAGACTCTGGTATTTTAGGCTTTGGTGGCCTGTGGTGATATGTTGTGTGCCCCAATAAAGCTTGCCTGGGGATCAGAGGACAGAGCCAGCCACTAAATTAGACATAGAGGTCAGGAGTGGTGGCACACACTTTTAATTCAAGGCCACACTGGGCTACATGAGAGAAATATAGAACCAGGCAGTGGTGACACACACCTTATCCCAGGAAGTAATATGGCAGGACACAGAAAGGTATATAAGGTGTGAGGAAACAGGAACTCTGTCTCGAGGCTGAGGATTCCGTAGAGGTAAGCTAGTGGCTGGCTGTTCTGCTTCTCTCATCTTTCTTCAGCTTTCACCCTGACATCTGGCTCTGGGTTTTTTATTATAAGACCTTGTAAGACTCATGTTATAGTGGCCCTATACACATATAGAAGATTGGAACTCATCAACTGCTTGAGGTTGATGGTATTAAAATACAAACGTCTACCAACTCCCTTTCACCTGAAATCCTGACTTCAACAGCCTCTCTGTGATTTTCCCGTTCCTTCTGCCGAAGGGACAACTGACAACTGTTAGAAGCACAATGATTACTGAGCTGCTTGTTGCCAACACATTTCCCTGGTTTAGAATTCTGTTCCCTGTGAACTTTTGCACCATGGAAAGTGTCACTTTTTTTTTTTTTTTTAAGTTTTCTAACAAAAGCCAAGATTCAGATCCTAGAATGGCAAATTTATCAGTACAAATGTCTAAATTTAGAAGACAGACGACTGTTTCATGTAACATTTTTCGTTCAGTGTTTTCTTGATTTAGCTTGAGTGAAGCTTTTAACAAAATACATTATAAAATCTCAAGTTAATAACTGCTCACATTTCCTGAGTACTAATATGTTCGCAGTAATTCTGTAGAGATGGTAGTGTGCCTGTCTTGTAAATTAGAGGCCAGGACCCAACATGGAGAGGATCTATCAGGCTTGTACCTAACAGATTTTAGACCCATCTGAGCCGCTGTGCCCTACCGCCTTTGAAAGTCCATAGTTGACGTGTGTATGTTTTCCTGAGATCAGAGCATTTTCCCTTTGAGAAGGGTGTTTTCTGAAAGAATAAAAATGAAATGACGTCCTAGGTATGTCACCATTTTAGATCCTGATACTTTGTTTCTTTGGGTATTTACTGACTCTTTGAAAATGCAGTTGATGTTTGATTGAATTTCTGTGTTGTTCTTTTTAGATCGTGTCTTTCATAGTAATGAAACCACTAAGAACGTGTATGAAGAAATCGCAGTGCCAATCATCAATTCTGCTATACAAGGCTACAATGGTTTGTATTCACTTCGTGTCACAGAAACATCTTCAGTGTCTGTTCCATTAAGTATTGATAGTTTTATTCACTATAAGTTTGAGTTTTCGCATTGATTTATCTATGTATTTTGCTTGTTTTTACAGGTACTATATTTGCTTACGGGCAAACTGCATCGGGAAAAACACATACTATGATGGGTTCCGAAGACTGTTTGGGAGTTATACCCAGAGCCATTCATGACATTTTCCAGAGGATTAAGAAGGTAACGACTTCACGCTTCCTAGCACACGTAGAAAAGGTAGTGGTAACTGAGTGGCAGTGGGTGTTTTCCTCTTGAAACAGTGAAAGAGAAAAAGATTCACACTCATTTCCTGACTTTCCTGGGAAAAGAAGAAAAGCATAGCATTGATTCACACACTTCATAGAACTTGAAGTTCTTGGATTAATTTTCTTTCTTTTTTTTTTTTTTTTTTTTTGGTTTTTCGAGATAGGGTTTCTCTGTGTAGCTTTGCACCTTTCCTGGAGCTCACTTGGTAGCCCAGGCTGGCCTCGAACTCACAGAGATCCGCCTACCTCTGCCTCCCGAGTGCTGGGATTAAAGGCGTGTGCCACCACCGCCCGGCGGATTAATTTTCCCGTTGAGTCCCAGAACAGTATTATTCCCAACAACAAGTAGACTAAATGAAGCAGTAGGAGATCCTGTCAGAGCAGTTAGTTCCATGTTAGCTTTGTTTAGTTACTAATGATGCTTAAGGAGCAATAAAAAGTAGCCGTGGGTAGAAGACAAGGAAGGCAGCGGGCAGTGTATACCAGCTGATCATTGGTTTAGGTTGGTTTGAAATGAGCATTTGCATGAAAGTAAAAGCATCTATTGTCAGGGCTTTCTTTTGAGCCTAGACAATTCATTATTTCTGAAATAGTGCCTCTGTGTTTTTTAATCAGCATACAGCCGCGGATTCTGTTGGCTTCACAGATAACTTTTCTTGGGGTCTTTACTCAGTGTGTGAATGTATGATGCTAGTTTATAAATGAGAACTTTCTGATGCTTCACACATTTTGTTTTTCTCCAAGTTTCCTGAGAGAGAATTTCTCCTACGGGTGTCTTACATGGAGATCTACAATGAAACCATTACAGACTTACTCTGTAATGCTCAAAAAATGAAACCTTTGATAATTCGGGAAGACATCAATGTGAGTAAAAGAACTAGATGACGTCACTGGTCAGCCCAAGAATGAGCCTATCAGCGGTCAGTCAGGGAGGGAGGTGGCATTCAGGGGGCCCTCTGAGCACTGCTGAACTCTTTGCTACAGGGAGCGAAGTCATTGCCCTCACTTGTGAACCTCACTCAAGTGGATCCAGTTTGGATTCAGCAGCCACATAGATGTCCCTGATTAAGTAGAGTCACCAAACTAAAAATCATGTTGGGAACAGCACTGGTACCAGGATGGGGGATGATAGGGATGTAGGGGGATAAGAAAAGGTAGAAGAGTAATCTAGTTATATGTATGAAATGACAAGAGTATGAGTTTATTTAAAACTAAGGGCATAAAATATATTTGATACAGAAAGTTTATACTTTAAAATAGGTTCTGTTCCAGTTGCCTGTTCTAAGTATATGAAAGTTCACTGAGTTGTACATATTTTGGGTCTGGATAATTTTGGTGTGTAATGTCTTTATATTTGTGAGGTTTTTTTAAAATAATGAAGTTTATAAAATAAAAGAATTTTCTGTGTTCAGTATACACAGTAAATTGTGAATAAGTTGCTTTTTTTTCTACAGAATAATTGTTCTTTTTTTTAAACTTTCTCAAATTCTATAGTAGATTATAACTTTGAAAGCAGACTTTGTTTCTCTAATCTTTTCACAATTAAACTGTTTTCAGAGGAATGTCTATGTTGCCGATCTTACAGAAGAAGTGGTTTACACCGCGGAAATGGCCTTGAAGTGGATCACAACCGGCGAGAGTAAGGCTGCTGCACGTTAATGCTCATCAGAACTCCCCGTCATAGTTGTTATGAGCTAAACTAAGACAGACTCCCAGTAGACTTGCCACAGTGAGCTAACGCGGAGCCTGGCGTCTGTCCTGGGCTTCAGTTAGTACACAGTTGACTTATAACTCATTTTTACAGAGAACCGGCATTATGGAATAACCAAAATGAACCAGAGAAGCAGTCGCTCCCACACGATTTTCAGGATGGTAGGTAATTCCGTTTCTTCCTACATTTGGACCTCCCAAAGAAGAATTTACTCATTTTGACAAGTTGCCTTTTCTGTATAGATTTTGGAAAGCAGAGAAAACGGTGAATCTTCTAATTGTGACGGGTCTATCAAGGTGTCGCATTTAGTAAGTATTTTTAAACCATAACTTTCCATACGGGCCCAAGAAGACAGCCTATTGGGTGACTGCTTGAATAAGAACTGTTTACTAAGTAGGAACAAAGCGTCAGTAGTTGGCAGCATAAGTGACCGTCGGAGTAGCCTCAGGTACTAGCTGAAGTGTTAGTGCAAGGGTTAGCCTC